GGGAGCGGGGAGGGGCAGTGAGGGAGGGAAGCGACGGCCTGGGGAAGGGCCCCAAGTGTCGTTTTAATGTATTAAACACAAGGCCAGCATCGGATCTCTCACCGGAGCAGCCTGTGCTGACTGGTCGGCTCCTCCGTGGGGAGGGGAGGGCTGCTGGGCCAGGTGAGATGCTCATCTCTCCCCTTCGGGTTGAGTTTTGGTTGGTTGGGTTGTTTGTTTTCTTTTTTCCCCCTGGGTCCAAACAAAATATTATAAATAAAAGCAAAGCACAGTGTTGGGACAGAGCCTCTGCGTGTTTGTGTTGTGGGGAGTGACTTGGTTCCTTGGAAACAATAAGGATGGGAGGCAGCGCGGAGCTGCTGCAGCCCTCGGAAAGTTCTGCTCAAGCTATCGTCCTGGGGCGAGAGGGCTACAAAAGCCAACGGGGTCGTACAGCTGTCTGTCTGTCCCTCTAGTTCTCACCCAAGATAAATGCTTTATGGCTAACTAACCTCTCCAAGCCTTTTACCACATCTCACAACCCCTTTGCTGAATTAACAGCATTAAAACCCCACCTCCAGCAGCAGCTCCAGGTCCTCCTGTGGCATGCCGGTACCCGGGGTGGGTCATTCGGGGCTGGGGTTTCGTAAGAGGGCATGGACATAAACCTGCGCTCGCCCTGTCACCCCTGTGGGCCTGTCTTGGCTGCTTCGTGGTCCTCTCAGCTGGCCAGATACCTAGTGGGAAATTTCTGGTGGTTTCTCAGGTGCTGGGGTGAGGTGGGATGGGTGCAGGGCTTTCTGCATCCTCATCTGGATCCCCACTGGGCTGTGCCGGTGGCTCGGACATAGTCCAGGGGACCCATCCGCCAGGGATGGGTTTGTGCTTCGGGCTAACTCCTGGCTGGGAGGGAAGCTGCTGCGTTGGGTGGCTGTGCATGGCAAGAGGAGGCTGTGGCTTCCCAGTGCCATGCCGCTTGTTTTTTCCCTGGATGAGGAGATTTACAGCCCGAGAGGAGCATAGGCTATCTCCATCGCTGTGACAGGAAGCTACTTGCCATCGAGTCCTTTCCGCAGCACATCCAGCCTCAGGAAAATAAATGGGAACGTTCCCTCTGTTAAGGACTGGCTGGCCAGGAGGCACACGTGGTTTTGGCTGCTCAACAAGAAAGGCGTTGCGTTGCTGGAGCATGTCCAGAGGAGAGCCACAAAGCTGGTGAGGGGTCTGGAGCACAAGTCTGATGAGGAGCAGCTGGGGTTGTTCAGCCTGAAGAAGAGGAGGCTGAGGGGAGACCTTATCGCCCTCTACACCTATCTGACAGGAGGTTGTAGTGAGGTGGGTGTTGGTCTCTTCTCCCAGGTACAGGCAGTAGGATGAGGGGATAGGGCCTCAAATTGCACCAGGGCAGGTTTAGGTTGAACATTAGGAAAAATTTCTTCAAGCGTTGGAACGGGCTGCCCAGGGAAGTGGCCGAGTCCCCATCCCTGGAGGGATTTGTAAAAGATGGGCAGACGAGGTGCTTAGGGACATGGTTTAGTGGTGGGATGGCAGGGTTAGGTTAACGGTTGGACTTGATGATTTTAAAGGTCTTTTCCAACCTAAACAATTCTGTGATTCTATGGCTCGGGCAGGTTAAGGGGCTGTACGGGCCTTTATATTGACCACATCAACTTGCTTTCCATTAACTTAATATTGGAGAGGTCTGACAGGCTAGGGAGCTGCAAGTGGTTGTCTCCATGGTTTTGAAAAATTCAGGATCTTTTTCTGAAGTCAATAAGGAAACTTGAGCCTGAAGCTTGCTCCCCCTGGGCCTCCCAAAGAAACTACCTCCTAGCTGGAGCATGGATGGCAAAACTTACACACATCTTCTTGGGGGATGCTTTTGCTGCCCAGTCGTGACAAGGGGCTGGTGAAACGGGCAGGCAGGGAGCTTGGGTGCAGAGACGCGCGAAGCGAGGTGCTGATAAACGTTTAATGCTGTGCAGCAAATGCCAGGTTTCAGCATTCAGGATTTCTGCCAGTCCCTGTGGGGTGATGCTTATTTGATGGAAGCAACTCAACAACGCCCTGACCCTTGAGCAGGACCGGTGACGGCTTCTGCTCTCCCTCACGCTGCCAAGGGGACCCACAGGCTGATGGTGCCCGGGCTCACCGGAGCCACAGCACGTGCGGCCCAAAGGTGCTGACGCCTCCGCCAGTCGCTTTTGCATCCAGAAGCAGATGAAGCAAAGCTGCCAGCCCCCTCCCCAGCGCTGGGGTGCTACACATGGAGCTGCTGGCTTCGGGCTGGGGACAAGGTGGCATCAAGGTTAGGGACAACGGGGGGGGGCACCCATGTGCAGTGCCACAATGCGCAGCCATCGCCTGGCTTGATGGATGCGCTGGGTAATAAAAAAAAAAAAGCCAAACCCTCTCTTAAAGCAGGGTTGAAAAGCGGTAGCCGTGATGCCCGTGCTTTCAGTGAGCACATTTGGGGGCTGAGCGCTCAGCCCTGGAGATGTTTATAGCACTTTAGGTCTGTTTGTGAGGTTGGAGCCTTTCCAAAAAAAAAAAAAAAAGCGGGGGTGGGGGGAAACAACGAGAAAGACATATATTATTGTTTATAATCTGCTTTATTCAGCCAAACCTTTCCCCAGCAGCCTTGCGGATTGCTGTTTAAATCCCTCGGTGCCTTTAACTACCGATACAGAAAGTGGTTAATGTGCATTCGACCTAAGCCTGGCATCTACTCCACGAAATCACTTTAATTGAGAAGCATTAAATGTTAAAATGATTAAAATATAGAAAGCCAACACACCGGTGCCCATGGAGGGGCTTGGACACCCCCACCCCCCCCCCTCCCC